TTATATAATATTTTATAATTATTAATTTATTACAATTTATTTATTAAAAAGTTAATAATATTATAGTGATTATACTATTGTATAGTATATTATTATATAATTATTATTTATTATCAATAACTTTTTTATTTATTTTTGTTAGTTTATTTATATTTTTTATTATTTATTTATTATATAATATATTATTAACATATTAAATATTGATATTTAATATGTTATTATATTTTTATATAAGATATTTTATTTATTATATTGTTATATTATTTATTAAATATTACTAATATATTAAATTAACTATAATATAGTATAGTATAGTATAATATAATAAGCACGTTTATAATAACTCTATATTAATTATATTTAATATATTATATTAGATATTATATTAACACATTCTTAAACTCAAAACCAAACACCAAACTTAAAACACTAGTATTTTAAAATAAGTGTTGTGTTTTTTGTTTGAGGATGATTTAGCTCAAAAAACACCATGGTTTCCAAACACATGGTGTTTTGTTTTTGGCAAAAACACTATAGAAATAAGTAAAATACCATGGTATCCAAACAGAACCTTATCAATTCATTTTAATGGGTTTAGGGTTAAACAACTGAAAAAGGAAGAAAAATATTGGGGGTTTCTCTTATGTGCACAGGAACAAAATATCAGATATTATTATGTGATAACGGGATGTGTTTATATAGAATTTTAAACGGTAATGTAAAGAAAAATATCATAGATGAAAAGCGGTTAATTGCTTATAGAGCATGTTTGCTATATCCACTCTCAAACAGTAACTTTGGGAGTTGGATTGTCGAAAATGCCCTTTTGGACTTGGCCTAGTTTGGTTTGGGAGAAGGGCAATTTAGTCCTCACACACTCCCAAAGTTACTGTTTAGGAGTGAATAGTTGGACCCCTTATAGAGCCACCCTCTCTAGGCTCGCTATTTTGAATTAACTATTCGCCTAATTTTAGTTTTTACTTATATACCCACGGGTGAAATTATACTATCTTTTTTTGTTATAAATAGCCAAAGGTCTATCTGCAAAAATAAAAATGTATGCATAATAAGTTGAAAATAGAGATTCTATGGGTGGTCTGCATACAATTAACCCTTACGTAATGAAGAAATAAGTTTTTTAATATATACCCCTCATCTCTCATAATTGCACATTTACCCTCCAAATCTTCATATTGGGTAGGTCTACCACTTCAACTTAACAATGTTGGTCTCTAAACTAGGCGATGTCAAACTTTCATCAATCTCTAATAAAATTGATAATATTTCCCCATTTTAAAACTAAAATCATTAAGTGATAGGGGTAGGAAAGATATCAATGTGAGAGAATTGATGAGCAATTTCACAAATATAAAGACTTGAGCAGTAATTTTGCAAATATGAAAGATCTAAAGTGTCTATATGAAAACATACTAAAAAAAGAAAAAAGAAAAAACAGAGCGGTCGATTTCTAGCAAGGACTCGTAGAATTTGTACTCCTTGTCCCCACTTTCTCCAAAAAATTTGCCGCCGTCACCTCCCGGTGCCGCCTCCGGCAGCTTCCTCATC